CACCTGGACAGGTCACCAGTCTATCACAGGGCTACACTTAGAGACAGACAACCAAGCACACTCACATTCACACCTACAGACAGTTTAGAATCACCAATTAACCTCAGCATGTTTCTGGACTGTGGGAGGAAGCCAGAGAACCCAGAGAACATGCAAACTCCATTCAGAAAGATCCCCCACCAGGACGCAAACCAGCGACCTTCTAGCTGTGAGGCAACAGTGCTAACCACCTGCACCACCTTGCAGCCCCCCAGTAACCAGGAACTGTGCAATCTGCAGGACGAAATACATAAAAACACTTTAAAGTTTACAATGAGAGATGCATGTTTTGACATCTAGTGCTTCATACTGAAATAAATTTGTCCTGCACATCTTTTACTTTTCAAGTTTAGTTTAGTTTTTTAAATGGCAACTGGATGTATTTTGATCAGTAAGGAGATTTAATGATTACAGGGTTTGGGTTTTTTGGTCATTTTTTTGTGTTTGTTGTTAATGATGCATGATATTAAAATTTCTGGCTGATACCGATATCCAATATTAAGATTTCTGATATTCCCGATATCCAATATTAAGATTTCTGATATTCCCGATAACCAATATTACCGATGCCGGTATTCAATTTTTGTTTTCACGCCGAAAAATGAGCATAAGTAAGTGCTGTGAGAAAAATATTCAGAAGAAGCACAAATTAGAACACATAATCTACTGTATTACGTGACAAAAGTAAAACATATTTTAACATATTTTAACATATTTAAGTCCAGAACCATTTAAGTAGAAACATCTGTGAAATAGCAGCGATATCAAATGTAGAGACGAAGGCGCTGATGTTAGAGAATCATCGGTTTTTCACATTGGCTTAATACTGATATGTGGGGAAAAAAAACACTAATACCGGCCGATACCAATGTGGTATTTTGATTTTTGAATCTTCCGCTCGACCGTCTCTGATTTGCTTGAAACGTTTCTTATCATGAATGTTTATAAAATGCTATCTGTGAAATTTTAGGCATATCGCGATCTAGGAGAATCCAGTTTCAGCACTTTTTTTTTTTTTTTTACACATTTGCTGCTGTTTAAACAACGATATCTCAGGAGCTATTAAAGACAAAAGCCTGGAATTTTCACTGTTACTTCTCATTAAGTCAATGGCTGAGAATCTGAAATGTTAGACGAGTGGATCTAAGAGTCTCCGATTAAAGGTTAAATAAGGAACAAAAAATAAAAATCTTTGATCACAAATCAACAAAGAAATTCGTAATGTTTCGTTTTTGTTCATGATTCAACTCACCTGTTATCAGAGATGATTTGATCCAATATTGCAGATTCTGAATCAAGGACATGATGAGAAACAACAGTGAACATTTCAGGCCGTTGTCTTTAATAGCTCCTGAAATATTCTTGTTTAAACAGCATCAAATTTTAAACAAACAATATGCTGAAAATAGAAAAAAATCTTGGTAAGTATTTAATATATGAAGCTAAAATTTCACAAATATCTTTATAAACATCCATATTTTCTGCTGTTAAAAAAAAAGCTCATGCAAACCAGAGTTCATTGAGCTAAATTTGTCTAAAATATTGATGATTTGATGGAATAACGTGTCTCAAGACAACTCGCTTTTAAAGATTTGCAGACTTGTTTTATAGCTGAAAAGGAATCTTATTGGTTTCAACCACATATTAACCTTTTTTTTTACTTCTTTAGTCAATGTACTAAAGAGTTTAGTTTCTTTCTATGAGTAATTAAGGCTCCATTGTGCGGCCCTGCATGTTAATTTGTTGCCCTCATTTGTTGATTGCTGATTTGTGTAGGAATCAGCAGCAGCAAAGCATAATATAAAGTCAAACAGGTCACACATAAGGTAGTTTTGATGCTCTGTATTTGCACAGAAACATGTCTTAAAATCTATTTATTGGTCCTTTGCTTTTATTCTTTATACTACAGTTTACACACACACACGGTGTACGTTTCTCAAAGGTTGTGTTTAGGAGAATTTAAACACTAATACACCAGAAAACAGAGGCCAGGCAGCATTATTCTAGCATATTTTTTAATTTATTTAGTATTATTATACAGGGACTGTGTGCAACAGTGAACTCATACCAGCATTTGCTCTTCTGAGGTGATTAAAGGTAACTTTTAATGCTACCGGTCGGTCTATTCGGTGCACAGCGGGGCCTCGGTGTGGCATATTTCTGTTTAATGCAGCCGTGCGTGAAGTGTTTGCATTATACTGTTTATGTTTTGCAACTTTAAACACAACTTTTATTCAATATAATAAGCCTTTGGTGCACGGTGGTAAATGTCAGCGCCTTGCACAGACCAAATCTGCAGTTGAAACAGAAGAAAGTACTTTTATTTTGAGTCGCCATGACAACAGAGACTAACCTCTCTCTCTCTTTTTGTCTCCTCGGCGTCGGCAGGACTGAGCCTGGTGGAGAGCTACCCGTACGAGCCCGAGGAGAGGGGCTCCGACTACGTTCGCCTGGCCTCCATCGCTGCAGGTGAGAAAGCGTTTCCCTCCGGAGGCCTTCGGTTACTGTAACTGGGAAGAGAAGAAGAAGTTAATGTGACAGCAGGGTTGAGTAATAAGACAAATATATCCGCTGTCAGCAGATATATTCATCGCAATCCATATCCATATCTAATTTAATGGTCTGCCTCCTTAGAATTCAACTCGGTAAATAATTAACCTGTGGAGCGCAGTCGGAGGTTCGCGCTTATAGGAAGTGACAGCTGGAGTTGCATCATATTAAGTGCACTCCTGTTGCACCGACGCTCGTCTTTCGGATAACGCGGACGTGATTAAATGACCGCTTCAGTGTGCCGTCTTCAGTGACTGCTGTGCGATTGATCGCTGCTTTTTGGTCAATTCATTAATCATATTTCAGAACCAGACCAAAGACTGTATGTGTGTGTATGTCTTATCATTTATTTGCATGTTTTATCCCCATTATTCCATATTATCATCACTGGAACGCGTGCACACAGTTTAATAGTGCATCTGTTTCTAGTATGTAAATCTGTTTTCACATGTTTCATTAGTTTGTATGATTGAGGTTTAGCTGTGGATTTAGTCGGAGCTCTTGCACAGACTCCTAAAGACTGCAGAGACTTTGAAGAGTTCTGGAAATAAGTGGTAAAAACTGCAGAACAATGTAAGACTGACTGAAAACCTGCAGCCAAAGGAAATAAGTTAAAGATTGGATGGACACAGTGGGATTTAATTTTAAATTGAAATTTGAACTGTCATCTAACAAACCAGGAAAATCTGTAAGTTAACATTTAAAAATATATATAATATAACAATTCATCTTTGAAATAATGGCAAATATCTAATAATCATTGTGTTTTCTGCTGATTTAAATACTAATACAAAAAAAAAAAGTTTTATAAATGGTCTGCACTTATATAGCACTTTTTTCTACTTTAGTGGCACCCAAAGTGCTTTACAGTGTGTTTCTCATTCACCCATTCACACACACATTCATACACCAGTGGTGACAGAGCTGCCATGCAAGGTGCTGCCTGACATCGGGGGCAACTTTGGTTCAATGTCTTGCCCAAGGACACATCGACTGGAGGGGGATCGAACCACCAACATTGCCATTAGAGGACAACCCGCTGTACCACCTGAGCCACAATGAATTTATGCAACTAAAGAGATGGAAGCAATCTCAAACCTGCAAACAAAGCTCACTTCTGTAGCAGTGCTATGCTATGCTAGCTAGTTTGTGCACGGACGATGAAAACGTATTGATTTCTAATCAAAAATTGGCTGTAATAAGCACCACCTTTTCACCAATTCTGACCATATTTCCTATGAGCAACACATCCTTAGATGAGGGAAGACATTATATCTGTTTAACTGTGTGTTAGTAATGCTGCTGAATGAAGTCATACAGGTAGAGCAGTGGACCAGCGCCTTATGAATTCCATGCATTCGGTTAATCATGCAGAAAATGCATCCATACGTTTTAATGCTCGGCCCTGATTTGCTGCCAAGTTCGTTTAACACCGCCGGCGCCGCAGCTAATAGAACACAGATTAGAAAATGGATTAGTCGGTCGGTGTTTATCACAGAGAATATGCAATCGATAGCACTAATTTCCATTTGCTTTGACCAAAAACTGAAGTGATGTTCGCATGTACTTCGTTATGGGACGATGTCGGACCTCAAAGCAGCTTCTCGGGTGTCATGTTTCAACGTGGGAGGTTTACAGTTTAGGAGCTCTGAATTAAAACTGAGCCGCTGCATTGAGAGGTGAAATATATTAGCTTACAGGATTCGCTATTTTCTAGCAGCATTAGTCTCGTTGTACTGTAATAAGTTCTCATGTTCCTCATAAGTCTCCATTATAACAGCTTGTTCCTGTTGACTGAGAACACTTTGGGTTCATTTTGTGCAGAAAAAAAGCCACATTATTCATTTAACGCCCCGTTTTATGGGAGCATGTGCAGAGCCTGATGAAGAAAACCTGAGTTAACAAAGAAATATCTGTGGTTTAGGTTTTGTTAAGCCAGCTAACACACGGAAAGCCTGGATAATATGGCTATGAGGGGTTTGACGCTTGAGTTTTGCTCTTCTAACCTGCATGACCTACTCTGGAGCATTTAGAAAAGGCAGATTAACACGTATAGAAACACCAACTACTAGCCAATCGGTTCTCTTCCTGTAATGCTCTGCGCACGAAACGTGAAAGTGTCTCCAAGGAGTTTTTAGTGTGTAAACCCGTTTGTTTCCCTGACGAGCAAATTATATATGACAGATGTACAGTAGACTCTCAGTGGAGGGAACGCCAGTGTTTCTCGCTTCACTTTTTCCCTGTTGGCTGCAAACAATTTCGGTTTAATTGTCCTATAGGCTTTATAGTGGGTAGAATAATAGGACAGAGACTGATTAAAGCACTAAAGCCGTGCACTTGTTGACCTTATAAGATTTGCAGTAAGCCTAGTTATCGGTTTGAGTTATGTTTTAATATTTGTTCTTTGCTCGCTTCCAAGACCGTTTAAGGGTTGCAGCGGAAAGACTCAGGATAGAAATTATCCCAGACGCCACAAGAGCACCGGAGCAGCACATCGCAATACACAATTGGACTTCAAGTTATGTCTACCCATGCCTTGGTGATGGGGCAGTAAGCCGGTTAACTGATGCTAGCACAGACTCCGATTTTTTTTTCTTCTTTTACCAGCTTTCCTTGCTGCTTTTGCTGCTACAGCTGTGTTGCTTTTTTTTGTTTTTTTCTGTTTTTCACCTAATTTCCTGTTTTGATTTAGGATTCCAGGGTCAATCCATGTCAAATCCACCAAAGGTCAAAGGTCATCCTCTCAGGTTCACAGGAGTTCATATACCAAAATTATGAAAAAAATCCCAAATATTAGGTCTAATAGGTAATAGTTTCGAAATTACAGCCCTTTAGAATTTAGTTAATTTTATTCGTTTTGGCAAACTAGCCTCTCAGACCATCTTCCAACATGAGTTACTCATACAATATGGCATATGGAGCTTCGAAACTCCTTTTCTTGGGCTAACTTTTCCTGTAGAATCCAAAAATGCAACCAGATCTGGTGTATTGTCTTTATTTGTCTTCCTACAAGGCTCTAAAAATGGCAAAGTAGGAGGCCAAAGGAGGCTTAATAACAAATGGTGAAATCACAGCATGAAAATGGGCAAAATTCATGAAATCTGAAAATCGAGCACATTTCAAAAATGTGTTCTTAAACCCCCGCAGTACTCATGTTCATGGCTACTGCATAAACATGGTCTAACGCCTCATAAATGACAGGAAAACCATTCTGAGTGTTTTATCTGTCATAATTTTCAAACGAGGGACTTTAAGAGTTGGTGTCTTTTATAAACATCAGAGTTTTGGGCCATTTTTAGAGCCTTGTGGGAAGACAAATAAAGACAATACACCATATCTGATTGCATTTTTGGATTCTGCAGGAAAAGTTAGCCCAAGATGAAGAGTTTAAAAGCTCCATATGCCATATTGTTCGAGTTATCAGTGTCTGAAGATAGTCTGAGAGGTGAGTTTGCGAAAATGCATGAAATGAAGTAAAATTTCAAAGGGCTTTAATTTCAAAACTATTACAGATGGAGACCTAATATTTGGGATTTCTTCGTAAGTTTGGTAAAGGAGCACCTGGGATTGAGGAGTTTGAGAGCGTGAATTGGGAAAATCTTCTAAAATTGGTTGATTTCATACAGAATGACCCTGTAGTTTATTGTTTTGTGCGAAATGTGCAGCTCTAGACCTCATCTTTCATGTGAACAGACTCAAAGCTGGGTTGCTTTGCTCCGTGTGACCAGTTAGCATCACTGTAGTTGTTCGGTTTAGTGACAGACAGTCAGATAACAAAACAATATTGTGTGTCTGTCGAACTTGCCTTGAAGCACAGGCTCCGGACGATTATCGCTTTAAATTTGTCCGTTTGATGCAAATTGCGGTAGCTAAAACAAACAAGAAAGGCAAAGCTACAGGCTAAAACTGCGCACCATTAGTTCTTTTTGGACTACATAGTGGGCTGATAAAGTAATGCAACCTATAGTAGCCTTTGAGCATTATTTTGCCACAGAAACTTCTCGTGGTGGACCCTGAAATGATTGTGTTGCCATGACATGCAGGTTAGAGATGGAGATTGAGATCCGGTCTGAACAAATGTAAAATATGCGCATTGAAGAATTATTGACTGACAAAGAGGTTTCCATAACCAGATAGTCAGACAGTCATTGGGGAAGATTATGCAAACAGTTTCTGGACCTCCATTGGTTTTAGTTCTTTGTCATTATGTGTTTAGTATGTTAATGTATTTTAAAGTAATGCTCTAGTGAACAAGTCTAATCAAACCACCTTAAAGTTATACTCTGCCTGTTGCACACGTTTTACACACAACTCGACAGTTTATAGAAGCCAATCAGTGGTTTTTGAGGCTTGCTGTCAAGTCGGTAAGTGATAGGTTGTAATTATCACCGGTTAACGCGGGCATGTTTCCTGAACCACCAACAAGTGTTCACCAGCTGACAGAGCAATATATGTAGATATATGTAGGTGAAGCCAGTCAGACAGATGGATGTGCCCGCCTGATATTTATATCACTGAGACACTGGTTCGATTTCTGTCGTGGGGCTTGATAAGTGTGTGTCTTGGCAAGGATGTTCAATATTAACTGGTTGCAGCCCGGTCTTTATCTAGTCACACTGCAAGGGAGCTCATGTAGGGCTACTATTTTGGAAAATAACTAAATCTGCAGCGCATAGAGTGGAATATGCAAACAAGCATCACTAGACAACACGATCAGTTGTTAAGCTGGAACGCTGCTTGCTGGACTCGCGGTCGTCCAACCCTACTCGTCAGTCAAGAGCCACAGTTTTGCACAAAAAAAAAGGGTCCCCACCAAGTTACGTGTCAAAGCAAGAGCAAATCAAGTTGTTATTGTGCATCATTTTGACAGAGGAGACGAGCGGATTTGCAGGTGGGTTTGGGAAGTGTTTGATGAGCCA